CGGCCGCTGGCCCCCTCCTCCTGCGGGGACACCCCGGCCTGGCCCCGGCCCTGCTGGACTTGGCCACCGGAGTGGGGGGCGCCTGGATGGGGACGGCGCTGCGGGCGGCCGCGCTGGGGACAACGGGGACAATGGGGACAACGGGGACATTGGGGGCAATGGGGACAACGGGGACATTGGGGGCAATGGGGACATTGGGGACAACGGGGACATTGGGGACGTTGGGAGCAATGGGGACACCAGGAGCAATGAGGACATTGGGGCCAAAGGGGACACCCGGTGCGATGGGGACACCGGGCACACCAGGGACAATAGGGACATTGGGGACACTGGGAGCAATGGGGGCAATGGGGGCAGCAGGAACAACAGGGACACTGGGAGCAATGGGGACACTGGGGACAACGGGGACACTGGGGGCAACAGGAACAACGGGGACATTAGGGACAGTGGAGACAACGGGGACACTAGGGACACAGGGAACAATGGGAACGCCAGGAGCAGTGGGGACATTGGGGACAATGGGGTCAGAGAGAACAATAGGGACACCAGGAGCAATGGGGACAGTGGGGACATTGGGAGCAATGGGGACATCAGGGACGAAAGGGACACCGGGAGCAATGGGGACACCAGGGACAGTGGGGACACCGGTGACATTGGGAGCAATGGGGACAGTGGGGACCCCAGGAGCAATGGGGACATCGGGGACACCGGGCGCAGTGGGGACACTGGCAACAGTGGGGGAATGGGGACACCAGGGACAGTGGGGACACCGGTGACATTGGGAGCAATGGGGACAGTGGGGACCCCAGGAGCAATGGGGACATCGGGGACACCGGGCGCAGTGGGGACACTGGCAACAGTGGGGGCCTTGGGGACACCAGGGACAACGGGGACACCAGGAGCAATGGGGTCACTGGGAACAACGGGGACACCGGTAGCAATGGGGACACTGGGGACACCAGGAGCAATGGGGACACTGGGGACACCGGGAGCAATGGGGACACCGGGGACAGCCGTAGCAATGGGGACACCGGGCGCAATGGGGACATCGGGAGCATTGGGGACACCGGGGACAGCCGTAGCAATGGGGACACCAGGAGCAATGGGGACACTGGGGACACCGGGAGCAATGGGGACACCGGGGACAGCCGTAGCAATGGGGACACCGGGCGCAATGGGGACATCGGGAGCATTGGGGACACCGGGGACAGCCGTAGCAATGGGGACACCAGGAGCAATGGGGACACTGGGGACACCGGGAGCAATGGGGACACCGGGGACAGCCGTAGCAATGGGGACACCGGGCGCAATGGGGACATCGGGAGCATTGGGGACACCGGGGACAGCCGTAGCAATGGGGACACCAGGAGCAATGGGGACACTGGGGACACCGGGAGCAATGGGGACACCGGGGACAGCCGTAGCAATGGGGACACCGGGCGCAATGGGGACATCGGGAGCATTGGGGACACCGGGGACAGCCGTAGCAATGGGGACACCAGGAGCAATGGGGACACTGGGGACACCGGGAGCAATGGGGACACCGGGGACAGCCGTAGCAATGGGGACACCGGGCGCAATGGGGACATCGGGAGCATTGGGGACACCGGGGACAGCCGTAGCAATGGGGACACCAGGAGCAATGGGGACACTGGGGACACCGGGAGCAATGGGGACACCGGGGACAGCCGTAGCAATGGGGACACCGGGCGCAATGGGGACATCGGGAGCATTGGGGACACCGGGGACAGCCGTAGCAATGGGGACACCAGGAGCAATGGGGACACTGGGGACACCGGGAGCAATGGGGACACCGGGGACAGCCGTAGCAATGGGGACACCGGGCGCAATGGGGACATCGGGAGCATTGGGGACACCGGGGACAGCCGTAGCAATGGGGACACCAGGAGCAATGGGGACACTGGGGACACCGGGAGCAATGGGGACACCGGGGACAGCCGTAGCAATGGGGACACCGGGCGCAATGGGGACATCGGGAGCATTGGGGACACCGGGGACAGCCGTAGCAATGGGGACACCAGGAGCAATGGGGACACTGGGGACACCGGGAGCAATGGGGACACCGGGGACAGCCGTAGCAATGGGGACACCGGGCGCAATGGGGACATCGGGAGCATTGGGGACACCGGGGACAGCCGTAGCAATGGGGACACCAGGAGCAATGGGGACACTGGGGACACCGGGAGCAATGGGGACACCGGGGACAGCCGTAGCAATGGGGACACCGGGCGCAATGGGGCCCGGTTGCGGGGGCCCCGCGGGGCCGCCCGGGCCCGGGATTGGGACTCGCTGCTGGCCCTGGCCCGGATCCTGCGCGACAGCGGAGCCGCCGCCGCGTGACGCCGTTTTGGGGACAATTCCGACCGTTTTGGGTCCGTTATTCCCTTTTGGAACTCGTTACGCCGTTTTGGGGCGTTTTCCTGCGGTTTTGGGGGCTGTGACAACGCGATTCCGGCACCGCGCCGACGCGGGCGCCACCATCACGTGACGCCCGTTTTGGGGACAATTCCGACCATTTTGGGTCCGTTATTCCCTTCCGCTGCCTGTTAGTCCCTTTTGGAACTTGTTATTCCGTTTTGGGGACAATTCCGACCATTTTGGGTGCATTACCCGCTTCTGCCGCCTGTTATTCCCCTTTGGAACGTGTTACTCCATTTTGGGGACAATTCCGCGCGTTTTGGGTCCGTTCCCCCCTTCCGCCGCCTGTTAGTCCCTTTTGGAACTCGTTACGCCGTTTTGGGGCGTTTTCCTGCGGTTTTGGGGGCTATGACAACGTAATTCCGGCACCGCGCGGACGCAGGCGCCGCCATCACGTGACACCCGTTTTGGGGACAATTCCGACCATTTTGGGTCCGTCATCCCCCCCTCCCGCCGGCTGTTATTCCCTTTTGGAACTTGTTACTCCATTTTGGGGACAATTCCGCGCGTTTTGGGTCTGTTACTCGTTTCCACCACCTGTTATTCCCTTTTGGAACGTGTTACTCTGTTTTGGGGACAATTCCGACCATTTTGGGTGCATTACCCACTTCTGCCGCCTGTTATTCCCTTTTGGAACTTGATACTCCGTTTTGGGGACAATTCCGCGCATTTTGGGTCTGTTACCCCCTTCTGTTATTCCCTTTTGGAACGTGCTACTACGTTTTGGGGACAATTCCGCCCATTTTGGGTCCGTTCCCCCTTCCGCCGCCTGTTAGTCCCTTTTGGAACTTGTCACTCCGTTTTGGGGCGTTTTCCTGTGATTTTGGGGGCTGTCACAACGCGATTCCAGCAACGGGGCAGCAGGCTGCAAATTTGGGGCGAATTCTGGTGGTTTGGGTGCTGTGTTTTGAGGCGAGTTGGGCCATTTTGGGGTGGAATCTGCCATTTCGAGGCACCTTGGGGTGTATTGCTCAATATTGAGTTTTTTTTTCACCATTTTGCAGTGGATTCGTTCATTTTGGGGGGCGTTTTACTCCATTTCGGGAAAGGTTCTTCCATTTTGGGGCGTGTTACTCCATTTTTGGGGTTCGTTGTTCAGTTTTTGAGGCTGTTTCTCCGTTTTGGGGTGTTTGTTTCCATTTGGGCGCCCGTTACACCATTTTGGGGCCCGCTAACTCATTTTGGGACATTTTCGTCCCATTTTTGGGGCAGATTCTTTCATTTTGGGGCACATTAACAGTGCCAGGCTCATTTTCCAGCATTTTGAAGCGTTTTCCCTCCCGTTTTATTGCATTTCCCTCCCTGTTTTGGGCCATTTACCCCATTCCAGCCCAGATTTCCCCGTTTCGGACCGTTTTCTCCCATTTCCGCCCGTTTTTCCCCGAAAGGGGCCCCGGTGTCCGGGAGAGAACAAAATCACGTCCGGATCCACCCAAAAGGGGTCCTGGCATCCCGGAGAGCCCTGAATCACCCCAAAATCCACCCAAAAGGGGTTCCGGCGTCCGGGAGAGCCGCAAATCACCCCCGGATTCACCCAAAAGGGGCCCCGGTGTCCGGGAGAGAACAAAATCACGTCCGGATCCACCCAAAAGGGGTCCTGGCATCCCGGAGAGCCCTGAATCACCCCAAAATCCACCCAAAAGGGGTTCCGGCGTCCGGGAGAGCCGCAAATCACCCCCGGATTCACCCAAAAGGGGCCCCGGTGTCCGGGAGAGAACAAAATCACGTCCGGATCCACCCAAAAGGGGTCCTGGCATCCCGGAGAGCCCTGAATCACCCCAAAATCCACCCAAAAGGGGTTCCGGCGTCCGGGAGAGCCGCAAATCACCCCCGGATTCACCCAAAAGGGGCCCCGGTGTCCGGGAGAGAACAAAATCACGTCCGGATCCACCCAAAAGGGGTCCTGGCATCCCGGAGAGCCCTGAATCACCCCAAAATCCACCCAAAAGGGGTTCCGGCGTCCGGGAGAGCCGCAAATCACCCCCGGATTCACCCAAAAGGGGCCCCGGTGTCCGGGAGAGAACAAAATCACGTCCGGATCCACCCAAAAGGGGTCCTGGCATCCCGGAGAGCCCTGAATCACCCCAAAATCCACCCAAAAGGGGTTCCGGCGTCCGGGAGAGCCGCAAATCACCCCCGGATTCACCCAAAAGGGGCCCCGGTGTCCGGGAGAGAACAAAATCACGTCCGGATCCACCCAAAAGGGGTCCTGGCATCCCGGAGAGCCCTGAATCACCCCAAAATCCACCCAAAAGGGGTTCCGGCGTCCGGGAGAGCCGCAAATCACCCCCGGATTCACCCAAAAGGGGCCCCGGTGTCCGGGAGAGAACAAAATCACGTCCGGATCCACCCAAAAGGGGTCCTGGCATCCCGGAGAGCCCTGAATCACCCCAAAATCCACCCAAAAGGGGTTCCGGCGTCCGGGAGAGCCGCAAATCACCCCCGGATTCACCCAAAAGGGGCCCCGGTGTCCGGGAGAGAACAAAATCACGTCCGGATCCACCCAAAAGGGGTCCTGGCATCCCGGAGAGCCCTGAATCACCCCAAAATCCACCCAAAAGGGGTTCCGGCGTCCGGGAGAGCCGCAAATCACCCCCGGATTCACCCAAAAGGGGCCCCGGTGTCCGGGAGAGAACAAAATCACGTCCGGATCCACCCAAAAGGGGTCCTGGCATCCCGGAGAGCCCTGAATCACCCCAAAATCCACCCAAAAGGGGTTCCGGCGTCCGGGAGAGCCGCAAATCACCCCCGGATTCACCCAAAAGGGGCCCCGGTGTCCGGGAGAGAACAAAATCACGTCCGGATCCACCCAAAAGGGGTCCTGGCATCCCGGAGAGCCCTGAATCACCCCAAAATCCACCCAAAAGGGGTTCCGGCGTCCGGGAGAGCCGCAAATCACCCCCGGATTCACCCAAAAGGGGCCCCGGTGTCCGGGAGAGAACAAAATCACGTCCGGATCCACCCAAAAGGGGTCCTGGCATCCCGGAGAGCCCTGAATCACCCCAAAATCCACCCAAAAGGGGTTCCGGCGTCCGGGAGAGCCGCAAATCACCCCCGGATTCACCCAAAAGGGGCCCCGGTGTCCGGGAGAGAACAAAATCACGTCCGGATCCACCCAAAAGGGGTCCTGGCATCCCGGAGAGCCCTGAATCACCCCAAAATCCACCCAAAAGGGGTTCCGGCGTCCGGGAGAGCCGCAAATCACCCCCGGATTCACCCAAAAGGGGCCCCGGTGTCCGGGAGAGAACAAAATCACGTCCGGATCCACCCAAAAGGGGTCCTGGCATCCCGGAGAGCCCTGAATCACCCCAAAATCCACCCAAAAGGGGTTCCGGCGTCCGGGAGAGCCGCAAATCACCCCCGGATTCACCCAAAAGGGGCCCCGGTGTCCGGGAGAGAACAAAATCACGTCCGGATCCACCCAAAAGGGGTCCTGGCATCCCGGAGAGCCCTGAATCACCCCAAAATCCACCCAAAAGGGGTTCCGGCGTCCGGGAGAGCCGCAAATCACCCCCGGATTCACCCAAAAGGGGCCCCGGTGTCCGGGAGAGAACAAAATCACGTCCGGATCCACCCAAAAGGGGTCCTGGCATCCCGGAGAGCCCTGAATCACCCCAAAATCCACCCAAAAGGGGTTCCGGCGTCCGGGAGAGCCGCAAATCACCCCCGGATTCACCCAAAAGGGGCCCCGGTGTCCGGGAGAGAACAAAATCACGTCCGGATCCACCCAAAAGGGGTCCTGGCATCCCGGAGAGCCCTGAATCACCCCAAAATCCACCCAAAAGGGGTTCCGGCGTCCGGGAGAGCCGCAAATCACCCCCGGATTCACCCAAAAGGGGCCCCGGTGTCCGGGAGAGAACAAAATCACGTCCGGATCCACCCAAAAGGGGTCCTGGCATCCCGGAGAGCCCTGAATCACCCCAAAATCCACCCAAAAGGGGTTCCGGCGTCCGGGAGAGCCGCAAATCACCCCCGGATTCACCCAAAAGGGGCCCCGGTGTCCGGGAGAGAACAAAATCACGTCCGGATCCACCCAAAAGGGGTCCTGGCATCCCGGAGAGCCCTGAATCACCCCAAAATCCACCCAAAAGGGGTTCCGGCGTCCGGGAGAGCCGCAAATCACCCCCGGATTCACCCAAAAGGGGCCCCGGTGTCCGGGAGAGAACAAAATCACGTCCGGATCCACCCAAAAGGGGTCCTGGCATCCCGGAGAGCCCTGAATCACCCCAAAATCCACCCAAAAGGGGTTCCGGCGTCCGGGAGAGCCGCAAATCACCCCCGGATTCACCCAAAAGGGGCCCCGGTGTCCGGGAGAGAACAAAATCACGTCCGGATCCACCCAAAAGGGGTCCTGGCATCCCGGAGAGCCCTGAATCACCCCAAAATCCACCCAAAAGGGGTTCCGGCGTCCGGGAGAGCCGCAAATCACCCCCGGATTCACCCAAAAGGGGCCCCGGTGTCCGGGAGAGAACAAAATCACGTCCGGATCCACCCAAAAGGGGTCCTGGCATCCCGGAGAGCCCTGAATCACCCCAAAATCCACCCAAAAGGGGTTCCGGCGTCCGGGAGAGCCGCAAATCACCCCCGGATTCACCCAAAAGGGGCCCCGGTGTCCGGGAGAGAACAAAATCACGTCCGGATCCACCCAAAAGGGGTCCTGGCATCCCGGAGAGCCCTGAATCACCCCAAAATCCACCCAAAAGGGGTTCCGGCGTCCGGGAGAGCCGCAAATCACCCCCGGATTCACCCAAAAGGGGCCCCGGTGTCCGGGAGAGAACAAAATCACGTCCGGATCCACCCAAAAGGGGTCCTGGCATCCCGGAGAGCCCTGAATCACCCCAAAATCCACCCAAAAGGGGTTCCGGCGTCCGGGAGAGCCGCAAATCACCCCCGGATTCACCCAAAAGGGGCCCCGGCGTCCGGGAGAGCCCAAAATCCACCCAAAAGGGGCCCCGGCGTCCGGGAGAGCCCCAAATCCCCCCGGATTCACCCAAAAGGGGCCCCGGCGTCCGGGAGCGACCCAAATCCCCCCAAAATCCACCCAAAAGGGGCCCCGGCGTCCG